TCCTCTAAATCATATGCTCTTTATCTATTCAAAGATCACAAAGTTGGTCAATAGATAAAGCTAAGATGTGAACTCAGGTCTTGGAATAAACTGCTCGTGCAATATTCATTCATCAAATTTTTAATGAGTACTTGCCACATAGACAGAGTGTTGATGTTCTTATAATGAAGAAGGTCAACCAAGTCCCTGCTTAGCCTTCATAATGCAGAGTGGGACACGTGGTACTGAATGCACATTATAATGCAGTGCAAAAGTGACTGACATAGCACAGGATGCTATTGCAGAGAAAAAGTGGGCATCCATCCTAAGCTTGGGGGAAGTGGAAAGATCAGGTGAATTTTAAGCCGAGAGCTGAAGACTGCTAGGAGCTAGACAAAGGAAGAGAGAATAAACAGAGAATTCAGAGCAAACATTCTAAGATAAAAGAAAGCATAGCATCTTAGGAAAATAGGATGAATTTCAGTAATGAGGAGTGAAGGTAGTATGAGTGAGAGCTAGTTGTTGAGAAGCAGTAAGTGCCACCTTACAAAGTTTAGACTTCAAATTGGGGTGTTTGTTTGTTTGTTTGTTTGTGAAGCCACTGATGATTTTTGTTTGTGAAGCCACATGATTTGATTTGAATTTTAGAAATAGCATTCTGAATTCTGGTTAGACATTGCAAATTGAACACATGTATTCACCTCCATTTGCTCCTAAAATTCCAGTAATAGGACAACAGAATTATTTAAAAAGTTTTAAAACCCAAAAGATCAAGTAGACCAAGACAATGCGAAATGAGAAATGGCTACAAATATTTTGACTATGAAAAGCATGCAAAGAGTGGTAACTGACATAATACAGATCAGAATGCAGATATCTAGGCACTTACAAGAAAGGAGCCTATGAGAAATAATACAGTTCATAATGTAAACCTGCAAAAACTCAAATACTGGAGATAAAGATTCCCTTGAAGGCAATGGTAGAGTTCTAAGGTTGACTCTGAATTGTTTAAAGTGAACTTATTGTCACTTTGAAGTGCAATTACTTGAGGAGATCTTCTCTGCAATACTGTACAATACTGCCTAATCACTTGCCTATAGAATATATAAGATCTATTACCAGGAGAAATTACACTGGAGAGGATATCGAGCATGGTGTAATGAAAGACAAACTGCCATTTTGAAAAGAGAGGGAGTGAGTGAAGGTTTACATGCTGAACATTGAAACTTCCATGCTCTCTAACTAGGAATCAGGCTTATATCTATCTCTCAGAGAGGAGACTGGGAAATTACTTTCCGGAAAATCTGAGCAGCCAAAGAAAAGAGCTCTATAGATATTGACATGAAAATAGCAACAAGGTAGCTGGATCTCCCATCTCATTATTCTACAGTGCAATCCATCAGTCAATAATCTCTATCCATGCTCACAGAATTCTATCCAATGAGTGTCTCACTCCTGAATCAATGAACTATCAATAGACATTTAAATATAGTCTCCCATAGGTATGGTAGAGACATAATAAAGAAAAAAAAAAAAAAACTCCAAGAGAAATTCAGAAAGCAGAAGAAAAAAAAATTGAGAGAGACAGAGAGTGCTTGTGGGAAAACAATCAATCATTCAGATAGATGTGAGAAAATTTGTTTAAAAGGAAATGGTGCTTTTAGAAAAAAGACCAAAGAACAAATAAGAGTTCTTAGAGATTAAAAAACTATGACCGCAAGAAAAAATCAATAGGAAATCTTTCATAAATAAGAAAGCTCTCAAACAAAAATGAAAAATAATGTAAGTGTGATAATTGGATTATTTTTAGAACTTTTTTTCTTCTTTCCCCATAAAATAGAGGATATTTTCTCTCTCCATTGATGCTGAGCTAGGACAGCAAGGCCAAAGAACGCATGTAGAAATGACAGTGTATTATTTACAAACCAAAGTGTTAAGAGGTACATGAGTTTCTATTTGCTTTCTTGAATGTCTGCCATTAAGAAGCTACTGGTCCAAGGAAGATGTGGAATCCATGCAGCAGATGATCCTGACCTGCCAAGGCCAGCTAAACTTTGCAGAGGCCCAGCCAACTACAGGCTAGCGAGCAAGAAAATAAACACTTGTTGTGTGAAACACTTGTTGTGTGTAACACTGAGCTCTAGTTTATTGTGTGACATTATTGTAGTAATAACCGACTAATGTAAAAAACTATATAAAAACCAACACACAAATAAAGACTCAATCTAAAAGTTTAAACAACCGTATAACAAAAGTTTCTCAAAGAGAAAACCCAAGAAGATTCAGGGGGAGAATATGGAAAAGATACAATATAAGAAAATGACCAAATGACCAAAATTAAATTTCCATATTAAAAGACCTCAATGAAAACAAAAAAATCCACACTAAGGTAGATCTTATGAAATTTCAGAATACCATGGAGAAAGAGAAGGATAAAAACTTCCAGACAAAATAAACAGTTCACATTTGAAAAAATTTAAACAGAATGACATTGGACTTAATAGAGCAGGGCTGAAAGCAAGAATTCCATAAATAAATGCTTTTAAAATTAAAATCGAGAATAAAAATTCTAACCTAGAATTATATAACTATTCAAACATTAAGTCAAATATGAGGGTAGAGTAAGAGTATTTTCAGGCATATAAGGATGCAAAAATATTTGCTTTCAAAGCACATTTTCTCAGAAAGCTATTAAAGAATATACTCCAGTAAGATGAAGTAGACTTGAGATCCAAGAAGTCAGAGTCCAACATATTAGAGAAATGAAGAAAAAATCCAGAATAATGGCAAAGGAAAGTCCCCAAACAACAGCTGTTCAGCCAGCTTAAGAGCTTTCAGTCCAAATTAGGGAACAACGATGAAAGGCTCCAAGAAGAATATCTTCATAGGAAATATGGAGCTAATAGTTTATCTGATAAACTTGACTACTTTATGAGAGATTTTACAGGTCTTCTTCGAGAGTTTGGGGAAGATTTCAGGAAAAGAATATAAAACATCAAGCAGAAAAAGTGAAATGAGACATTACTACTTACAGGAAAAAAACAAGATCCCTTTGAAGGACTGAGGTTCTCATCAAGTACGTTTGCATGCATGTATTTTTGTACTTCATATTTGAATTATGTATACTGCATGTTTCCGTTGGGTTTCTTCAGAGGCTGATTCAAAGATAATGTTTCAGGAAGTTTATTTGGGAAGTTTGGGAAGTAAAGGAAACACTTGTTGTGGACAGGGGAGGTGACAGGAAAGAAATGTGGAAACTACTGAACTTTAATCTAAACCGTTGCTAATCAAAGTTTGGTCTGCTAACAACTTTCACACACCTGGAGACTTACTTGAAATTCTGAATCTCAGGCCTCACTCGAACCTGCGATTTTACAAGATTCCAGATGATTTTTATAAACTTTTAAGTTTGAGAAGCAAGCACTGACCCAAACCACTGGGCTCCTGGACCCACAGCACCAGCATCACTGGAGAACTTGCTTGAAATGCAAATGATCTGGGTCCACCCCCTCTGCTGAATCAGAACCCATCTGGAGGTGAGCCTGGTAATCTGTTTAAGAAAAATCCTTAACACCCAAGATTGAGAACCACTGGATCCACACCTTTATCCTGCCTTTAGTGGTGACCATTCCTAATTTTAAATCATTTACCGCATGTGATTTTTTAGCACAATTCTCTTTCTAACGCCAGCGGTAACTTAGGAGGGTTGGAGAAGGAACCCATAAAAATCTATGGTCATATGTATGTTTAGATCAATATGCTACTAATGGCCACAACTGCAGGACTTCCTCTTTCCCCAAACTGGAGACATATTGGAAAGGCTCTCTAGTTGGGTGAATATAAAAGCCATATGCTGGTCTGCCATGAATTTTCTTTAGAAATAAATCCACAATTTTTCAATAGCTGTTCTAATAACGGTTTTACACCCACCTTGACTTCTAAATTTTAAAACGCCTCCACCTCTGAAAAACATTTTTCAGTGATTGTCAGTTAGGGTGAAGCGAGCAGGGTAAGCAGCCCCTTTAGTTCATTTAAGGAAGATACCAGTGGATATTAGCGCCAGGTGTTTCCGAATATTATGGGAGAGGACATCCCCCGATTTTATAAACACAGCAAGCAAGGTAAGACTTTCTTCTTAAAAATCAAAGCCCTCAATACTACCTACTACTTTTCAACCAATTCCTAGGATTTATCTCAGAGCCTCTACTAGCTGAAGACTTACAAAGGCGTTGGCGTTTGTTAGAAAAGTAAAATAAGATCGTGTTAGAGACTCTACCTCCTTCCTCAGATTCACTCCTTCCTTTAAATTCTAAAGCACTGCCAGTCCTTTATCAAGTTCAGAGTCATTTCCCCGTTCCTCGTTCCTTTGCATCTCTCTAAAGCGGGCCCGAGAGATAAATCTAAGGCAATGATCTCCAGTGTCAAACTCTCTCAGGAAAGAGCCAGGGTAGGTGGTTTACTCCCAGGCCGGCCCCTTCCCCAAGGAGACCACCTCCTGTCCCTCCGCGCTTTGACCCGGGGCTTTCAGAGCTGGCTCGTTGGCCTCAGAACTTTCTCAGGCTGACCTTGAACTTCCTGGGCTCACCAGAGCGGGCGGCCAGGGGATTCTCGGCTCCCCCGGGGCCACTAGGGGGCGGCCGCGCTCTGCACCGCCCCAGCCGGGAGGAGACGCCACGCGGGAGGAAGTGCCCGAGTTCTGGCCGGGCCCGTGGCGAGCGCGGGCAGCGGCGGGGAGCTGCATCCTCGGCC